GCTCCTCTGAGTGGGAAAGCGTCAGCAGGTATAATTGTTTTCTTAGTAGATGAAGGAACATAATCGTTGAGTTCGTTAAGGAATTTTATACAATGCTATGAGTCAGATGAGTCAGTTGTATTTCAGCAAAGTATTTGGACCATGTTTTGATATGTAACAGCTCATAGAAAATGCTAGTGATTGTTTAGAATTTACTGAGCACCTGCCATGCACCGGGCTCTTGGGATCCAAAGATGAGTGGGATGTAGTCCCTGTGCTCAAGAAGCTTACAATCAAGTAGAGGGAGAGAAACCTAAATAAGCCATTGTAACGTGATATGCCAAGTGCTGTAGAGACTTTTGCCATGTGCCTTGGGTGCAGAGAGGACCAGAAGCATCCCTGGGGGACTACATGTGGTTCTATACTGGGAACTTGCTGTTATCCTAATGACATGCAGGAAATTTCCTTTTCCTGCCCATGATGATGTGAAAGATGCTTTAGAAACATCACCCAAGTGTCCAGTAGTCCTGCTTATCTCATCATTCGTTTGTGGTTTTTGTTTTGCTTCCCTAAGTATCTTTTGTCACATTGAAAGGTCAGCCTACCCATGATTTCTGTTACTGAAATGTAAAATCTGATTGAAATAAGCCCAGAATATAAGGCACTTACAGTGGCCTGTGAAGAAGGGTCCCTGGTTTCACTGTAACCTTTGTATTTGTCATGCTGGACAGCTGTGACAGCCCAGAGTTGTAGTGAACCAGTGTTTCTATCCAAGGTTACTTTGTATGTAAATTTATTTTCCCAAGGCTGCCTCTCCTCAGCCAGTTCACACCAAATAGAAGCTTTTAATGTCAAGGTTGGGTTTGTTCAGAATCATCAGCCCTGTCCCTTTGCCAAAGAAGAAATTGAGATAGTTAGTAGCCCAGTGACTGCTCTTCTGTCCTCTAGCCTTCAGGAGCAAGGTCATCGCTCTGAGGATTTGGAAAGCATGAACTCTAAGTAGCTCTGATGAAAGCACACATTATTTATTTGGTGATGATTATGAATGCAATCCAGGCAATAAGGGAAGGAGTGCACTAGGAACCAAAAGACCTTGTCCTATACCTGGCTGTGCCGCCAGTGAATTACCCTGGGCAAGATGCTTCCCCTCTCTGCACCTCCATTTGTTCATCTGTGTGGTCAGCCTGGCTGATTAAGGTCCTCAAGTCTCTGTGAGTCATTGTTCTTGTTTATTACTTGAAGGGCAGAGTTAACAGAATGACTCATGGGTATAGCTCATCCATGCAGGGCAGGGACTCTGTGAATTGTTGGTCTCCAGTGGTGATGATGACATGTGTCTCGTGTGATGGTGTTTCAGTTAGGAGTGGGGTTTTGCCCAAGGTGGCCCTTCATATGTACAACTCCAGCAGGCTGAGTGGCTTCTTGTAGCTGGCATGCCCAAGTGCCCCCTCTTCTGCAGGCAGCAGACCTCTTCCAGAGAGGAGAAAGCCTTAAGGTATCCATCCTTGCTGTACTTCAAAGCTAAGCCTAGGCTATGCTGAGATGCACTTTGAGGTGTTCGAGAGAAGTGGATAGCTGTTGTTGCTGATGGCAGGTACAGAAGAATGTTCAGGCCTAAAGAACCAGAATGAAATCTTCCCAAGGAGAAGTGCAAAGAGGACAGCTGCGGTGGAGAGTGGTGGGGTCTTGGACTTTTCTGATGCTTTGGAGAAAATCTGCTATTATACAATAAAGTTTGTTCTAATTGGAGCTTCACCAAAATTATATTCAGAGATGACACTCATGAAATTGTAGTCTTATTTTCATTGAGATAACAAAATTCCAAGTAACTGAATTGTATTTATTTTATTGGATGCTTTGACTCAGGATTTAATCAGACTTAGAGGTATGTTGTTTCCTAAATCAGCACTCACAGTGGGTCCTGAGCAGGGCGGTGGCCAGCCTGGAGAATGGGCAGTGTCGGGGCATTTGGAGGGACTTTCCTATGCTGTGATTTTTCCTGCATTTGACAGGCTTTGCACAGTACCCCAGAGTGCCAGAGGACAAAGTGAGTTGTAAGTTACACAAAAAAAGGATAGGTTTACAAATAAGGAAAATTAGGCTCACAAAGGTGACATTCCTTCCCGAAGCCACAGTGCTATGAGGGGCAAAATTAGGATTTGAATTAAGATCTCTCTTGGCCACAAAACTCTTGCTTTTCATCATTGTGCTTGCCTCCCTCTTTGTTTAAAGGGTCAGTTGTTATGCTTCCAAAAAGTGAAGCTTATTTAGAGCTAGGTGAGTAATTGGTGAGCGTCTTCGAGTGCCCACTACCAACTGAGGTGCTTGCAAAGACCACTGCATCTGAATTGCTGACCTTTAAGACAGTCCCCCTCCCACGTATCGTTTTCCCCATCTGGAAGGCTCAGCAAAAAAAAAGCCTGAGAGTGTGGTTCAGGCCGAGGCTGAGCTCTGCTATTGCTGAGGGAATTCTGTCCTTTACTTAAGAGTATCTTAGGGATGCTTGAAACTGTGGGTATAATATTTTTCTCTTAAGTACATTTAGCTGTTTTATTGCCAGAACTGCACCCCCCTCAGCCCCCAGCAGAGGCTTCAGAATTGCCCTTGTCATGCTGATCACACCAGCTGACCTTCAGGGTCTGTCTTCCATTGCCTTCTCCAGGAGCAGCCTCTGCCGTAGACCACTGTGGATGTTTTGCGTCTCAGTAATGTGGGAAGAAGAGGCTGGCCTTGTGTGTTTCAGCTGCAGCCCTGTTGTTTTTGCTCCTCCATTGCGCTCTTTGATTTATCTCCCTCATTAATCTGTGGTGCTCAGTACTGTAAAATTGCCTGAAATGAGATCTGAAGAGAGTCCCTGACATTTTGAGGGATGCTTCAGGATTGTGTGGAGGAGATTAAAACGGGGACAGAGGGAAATGAGGTGGCTGCATGGCTCAGTGGGCTCAAACCTCCAACATGAGCATTTCTGTTGCCACCTCTTCCTTTGGCTGACCCTGTGGTTTGGAGAGAGAGACTCAAAAATGTACAGTTTCTCCATTTGAAAAAATAAGGCTTGAAAAAAATTCTCCCTGGCCGCTTATTTGAGTTGCCTGGACATTGCTTATGGGCAACCTATGAGTATGCAGTAGTTGAAGCCCTAGAGAAGATGTGAACAGAACCACAGGGCATTGTAGTCTGGGTAGGAGTCTGTCGTGTCACCTCCCATAGGGTGTAAAGGTGGACACTAGAAGGTGAGTGCAGGAACCACTTTGGGTGCCCTACAGCTAACAAGAAGCTGACTGAGCACTATGTGGGGAGATAATATTGAACTTCCAGGGCCCCCCCAACTTATGGAAGAGTTTTGTGGGGAGAATAGGTTCATTTTCCCATTGTCAGTATGGTAGCAACTCATGAGAGCTCTGGGTACACCAAAAACAGAGGCTTCTTGGGAGGCTGCTTAAATTCTACCATAGGACCCTTGGCAGTTTGAAATCTGTGGTTCTCATCTGAGTCTCATTGTCAAAAGCAACAACTTTCATTCACTGAGCACCTGCTGTGTTCTAGGTATTCTCCTAGCTACTCTACATAGTAGCTCTAACCTCCCAGAGGACCCACCGCAACAGGAATTATCCACATTGCACAAATAAGGATTCCTGGCTCAGTGAGCTGATGTGACTTGCTCAGGGTTACATAGGCAGTGTGTGGCAGAGCTTGAATTTTAATCCAGGGCTGTCTGGCTCTAAAGCCAGTGTTGGATCAGAGATACCAGGCTACCCATCTCTAAACAGGGAGGGTAGGCTGCTGTTGACTAGTCCATAGATCCAGCACACAGAAGAATCAGGAATAGCTTCCTGACTTCTTTTACTTTACCCAGGGAGTCCCAACTCATAGTCCATGGCTGGCTATAGCCCTGCCTTCCATGCTCCTCCCTCAGCCCCAGGTAGGATCCTCTGGGGGCTCTCATCTATCCAGGGTCTCTCCATAACCATGCCTTGCTCCCTGGTAGCCCTTAACTCGCCTTTGGAACCATCAGCTCCTAGGTATGGTCTCCCCCAGACTGAGAGGAAGGAAGCAGAACAAAATTGTGTTTTTCTCAGCATTCCCAGGCTTTGCACAGAGCTGGGCATGTACAGTAGGAGATGTTTGCTATATTTTAGTTAATTAATGTTATCATAAGACAATTAATAAGATTGACTGAATAGTTTTTCTTCCCCTTTTCCTTCCAGTTGGCAAACTCCCCGCAAACAGTTTGAAATCTCTCAGCCTCTGTCTGTCTCTGCTTCTCCCTGTCTCTCTGCTTTTCTCTCTCCCTTTCTCCACCTGCCTCCCTCTCCCTCTCTCTACCTGCCTCCCTCTCCTTCTCTCTCATTTACCATGGTCTGGGGGTCTAGGCTGCCATCCTCTCTCATCTGAGCTCTCCCACTGCAGCCTTCCAGGCCTACTGTACCCACCAGGGCCTGTATGCAGTACGTTCTCCACCCAGCAGCCATTATAATCTTAACATACACATCAGATCCCCTCTGCCCCTGCCTGAAACCATCCCTCGGTGTCTTTCCATTGCACCTAGAACAAAAAGGCCAGACTCCTTGCCGTGGCCTCCAGGTGGTGTGTGTCCCAGCCCCTGTGCACCTCTCCAGCCTCACCTCATCATGCCAGGTCTTCTCTTTCATCAGAAGCTTTGCACGTGCTGTCCCCTCTGCCTAGACTGTGCCTCCTAGCCCTCTCCTTTTCTCCCTACAAGCCTGGCTCATTCTCTTCCTTCAGGTCTCAACTCAGACTTCACCACTTACAGAGGTTGCTACTGACCACTCGGAAGTTTCAGCTGTTAGTTTCTTTTTGGAAACCGTTTATTTAACAATTTGTACTTTCATTTGTATTAATTTTATGTATTTGTCTGTTAAGTCTTTTCCACTAGATTATAGGTATCAATAAGACAGAAACCAGGTCAGTTCTGTTTGCAGGTGAATCTCCTCTCCTAGCACAGTGCCTGTCCGGAGAGAGTGCTTATTACATATACTATGAAGGAATAAATGGCTGCCAGGCACTGTGATGTGGGGCTGATATGCAGAATATTTAAACCAATGTGCTTCTGGTACCAACCGTCCAGAATAGGGCACTAGCCAACTAGAACAGGGCTGTGACCCATTAGAAAGGGGCATCCGTTGGCTGTAAGCCACTCATGGCTGACATAAATCAACCCTGCTGTTGTGGCATGAAGTGAACCCTCCCACTCGGTCCTCAGCCAGTCCTCAAAGAGAGGTAACCATGGCCTGACTTGCCTTCAGAAAAATGGGGCTATTGATTTTCAGGAACTTTTCTTATGGGAGACTGACTGGTTTAACCCAGCCTGCTATTGCTTTGGAAAAATATGTGTGTTTTTTGTTTTGCTTTGTTTGTTTGAGTTGGAGTTTTGCTCTTGTTCCCCAGGCTGGAGTGCAATGGTGCCTTCCTGACTCACTGCAACCTCCACCTCCCAAGGTCAAGCGATTCTCCTGCCTCAGCCTCCTTAATAGCTGGGATTCAGGCACCGGCCACCATGCCCAGCTAATTTTTTTGTATTTTTAATAGAAATGGGTTTTCACCGTGTTGGCGAGGCTTGTCTTAAACTCCTGACCTCAGGTGATCCACCCGCCTCGGCCTCCCAAAATTCTGGGATTGTAGGCTTGAGTCACTGTGCCCAGCCAGGAAAAATTAGTTTAATTGATATGTTGCTCTGACAAGTTCAGACGCCGACTTTGCTGCTATGTAGAGGTCAGTTCACCATCCTGAGCCCCCTTGTCTTCATCAGGCTGCTGTAAAGATTAAATGAGACGGTGCCAGGCACGAGGGGAGCACAGTGCCTGTCCCAGTGAGTGCCCTTGATCAACGGCAGCAATTTTTATTTACTCGTGATCAGAATGCTGATTTCACAAATAAGGAAAGTGAAGCACAGAAAGGCTAAGATGCCCGAATTGGCCAGGATATACATGTGGGTCCTCTCGGCTTCAGGTCCAGCACTGTGGCCACTGGCCTGCGCCACGTCCTTGGTATAATGTCCTCTTCTCTTTGTGATCTTCTTTGGGAGGTCTCACTCAGCTCTTTTCTGCCTGCTTCTTCTGTCTTCAGGGAACTCTGGTTAAAAAAAAAAAAGAAAAAAGTCAGAAAGCCAGAGACCCTGATGGATAACTGGCAAAAGCTGAAGTAGTTAACACGCTCCACATCCTGGCAGGAGGGCTCCATCTTTGGAACCAGCAGACTAACCACCGTGTAACAACATCAGAGGTGCAAACCTGTTAAAATCCCCAGCAAAGGTCTTGAAACAGAACATGAAAGGGTTTACAACCCTGTGGATTTAAACTTCTCATGGAGCCAAGCTATAATTCCATCTCTGCTTTTGGAAGTAAAGATCAGAACCATAATTTGAGGAGGGCCTCAGAGCATGCACTGATTATGTTTCAAGACACAGGCTGTGGGATGAAGCTGCCCGCGGGGAGGGCCTGGGGTACTGACCAGGAAGGGGTGTGGAGGGCGGTGTGGGGAGAGTAAAGCAGGGTGTCTAGCTGAGGCAATTAAATGTCCTTGCTTCTCAGTTTAAACAAAGGCCCCAAGGAAACCTCCCAGAGGGCTGCGTTCTTAATGTTCTGGAATAAAGGGGTAGTGAGCAAAGCCAGCAAGCTGGGGGAGCTAATGTGAGTCCTGGCCTTGAATGTCCCTGCAGGAAGTCAGCTAAGGAGGCCTCTGTATACAAGCAGTACTTGTCATGCTAATGACCCAGCCTCTGTGGTGCCACATAGGTCAGCTCTGAGACTTCAGGTTGGAGCTCCACTGGAGAGCTGGGACGAGCGCTTCCCCTCCCTCCCTCATCCAGGGCTCCATAGCACGTCCTCGTGTGCTGCGGTTCCTGGCACGGTCCCTCTGCTCTCACTGCTGCTGTCCTGCTGTGCCAGCCCTGTTACACTGCACGTCATCCCCAGCACAGCTACAGTGATCCTCCTGAAACGCAGATCTGACCCTGTGTGCCATCTGCCTGCTGAAAACCCTTCTTGGCTCTGTGTCACATACAGGATAAAGTGCAAGCCTCAGAGATGACCCTCCAGCCTTGGCCCCTGCCATCACACCCACCTCATCCCCAGCATCTAAGCTGACTGCACCAAACGCTTGGCAGTCTCTAGAATGCTCCGGGATGTTGTAAACCTCTTTGCCCCTGGAATGCCCTCTCCTCACCCTTCCTTGCCAAGCTAACACATCCTCTTTCTGCATTCAGCTCCAATGCCCACTTCTAGGCATCTCAGGCTGAGTAAGTCCTTTCCTTGGGGCTCCCAAAGGACCCCCTGCAGTCCTTTATTTTAAGTGTAATCAAATCTTGACCCTTTTTTTCCTATTTTCCCTGTTGCTTGGCTTGAAGACAGGGATTATCACTGGGTTTTCAGGATCCAAAAATATGGTGTCTGCCACATAGTAGTCACTCATTCTGCACTTACTGAACTGAACTGCACTTTTAGCCAGATGAGCTCTCTCTCTCCATCCAGAGACCTTGACTTTTTCATTATCAACAGTCCTGTTTTTCTCACTCTCAGGACTATCTTAACCCTTAGCACAGTGGGTGGCACAGAGTATAGGTCTTCAATAAAGATCAGGGCAAGCCTCCCTGAGATGATGTGGGGTGCAGCTGTCCCACCTGTTTTAATCCATTCAGGCTGCTATAACAAAGTGGCGTACATTATGTGGCTATAAGCAACAGACACTTCTTTCTCACGGTTCTGGAAGCTAGAAGTCCAAGGTCAGGATGCCAGCCTGATTGAGTTCTGGTAAAGGCCCTCTTCTGAGTTGCAGAAATTCTGACTTCCACTTGTACCTTCACATGGCAGAAAGAGGTCAAGCTAGCTCTCTGAGATTCCTTTTATTAGGCACTAACCCCACTCACAAGGGCTCTGTCTTCATGATCTAATCACCTCCCAAAGACTCCACCTCTAAACACTATCACATTGGGGATTAGATTTCAACATGAATTTGGGGCATGGGAAGGGGAATCCAGTCCATAACACCTCTCATCAGGCATAGTACTTGCTGGGAACGCCTTGTGCAGAAGGTGCTTTGGGGACACAGGGGCCTGGAGTGGAGCCCTCTTCAAAGATCCCAAATCCCTCTCTATATCTCAAAGATCAGGTCATGAGTGACTGAAGGAAGGGACAGAGCAGTCACGGAGATGTCAGTGCATTTAGATTCAGAGGGCAGAACAAGAGCACTGCAGCATGGGTCAGATGGAAGGCGTCCTGCAGGTTGTAGGCTTTTAGCTGGACCTTGGAAAACACGCAGGAGTTATAGGTGGTGAGGAAGAGAAAGAGCAATCCATGTTTGGTGATAGAATGTGCGGAGGGATGGAGAAAAGAGACTGAGCCTGGGGAGTTTTGTTCTCTGGGAAATCCCATCTTTGAAGGACAACCACTTGTTTTCCAGGCCAGTAGGTGCTCCAGTAGGTGGCCATTACAAAGCCGCTGTAATAGCCACCTCTGGCAGTTGTGTCCCACTGTGCTCTTCAGCAGTAACCTACCCCAGTGTCCCTGGAACCATCTGTGTCAGGGGTCAGCCTAGTGTTCTTGGAGAGAAGCCTTCCAAAAACAGACTCTGATAGGCTGAGGCAAATAGCTGACTTATTCATATATGCCCTGGGGCTCACAGTATTAGAACTGGCCACCTCCTAATGATTAAACACTACACAAACACCCGTGACCAGGGTACCCCACCATAAATGGGCTGTAAACCAGAGTGGGCAGTGGCTGTTCCACTAACTGGGAGGAAGCAAGGCTACAGAAATGCTTTCTGTCCTAAGCAACTAGCCCTCCAGGCAGAGCCCAGAAAACAAACCCAGACCTTTCCTGCACCCTGGGAGGGAAGTTGGAAAGGGGAAAGGTGGGATTCCGAGGTCACTGAGAGTGGAAAATAACAAGCACCTCCCTCTCCTCCCCTGTGCTAGGTGCTCTAAACATGCTGCACATTAACTTACATCACAACCTGGTGACAGCTGGCAATTGATCAGGATGGATTCAAATGGCAATATGTATTGAGAGTCTGTTTTATCAGCATATCCATTTATGAGAGGAAAACTACTGCCACTACCCTCAAGTTAGATGATCCAGCTGATTCAGAGACACTAGGTCTTTCATCTGGAATCACACAGCAAGCGACTAGAAATAGGACCAGAATCCAGGTCCTCTGACCCTGCAGTACAAGCCCTCTCCATTATCTGAAGTGATTGTATGAGCGACTCCCGAGGGTAAATGGCTTAGCGTGCCAGGCGTGGGACACTGCCTCTCTTGTTCTACCCACACCCACTTCCCTCCATCTCTAAGTTAGTTCTACGTGAGTTCAGCAGATAAAAGAATCACTCTTGCTCTGGTCAGTTGCCTCTCCAGGAAGCAGGCAATTGGACCCTATTGGTGGGAAAGGTGAGAGATTCACACCCACCTACCTGCACACCTCCCCCTGTTCTGGATGGGCCAGACCAGGGCTGTGGGCCTGAAGCAGACCTTCACCAGCCTCTAAGAGCTGGGGATGAGTACAAAACCCTTCCTTGTTGCTAGCCTGAATTATTGGAATCTGCTGCTCTTATTCTTCAGTAAGAAAAACAGCCATCCTGTTCATTGGATTTGGATTTTCTAGCTTCTGGTTTTGTCAAATTGTGAATAATAATATCTATCTCTAGTTGTTATTAGAGAATATGGAAGGTTCATGGGAATTCAGGAATATTTGAGAAGGAAATATCTAGGAAAATTGCATGCAGTCTGAGTAAGCCGCCCACCTCATTTGCTGGTGAACTCCTGAAAATTGGTTCCCAAACACCAGGGGTCTTTAAACTCCAGAGATGGAGACACATCTGTCCAGAATCATACCTGGAATTCCTAGTATCAACTGTTATTACACTGGTCCTACATTCCTCTCCATATATCACCTCAAAAGGCTTAATTTGCTTCTTATGTATGTTCCCCAGAACAGTTAGAATTGTGATGCCCAAAGGTGGTAAGCTTGCCAGGCCAAAATATTCTCAGGAGTAACCTTTAATTTCAGAATCCATGTTTCTAGTGTAATTTACACCTTCTTTGTCCTTCAGTTTCCCTTTCTGTCAAATGGGCATGTAAAGTCCTGGGTCCTGGTCTCTCCTCTCCCCACTGCCATAAGTCAATACTGGTGAGGAGCTCACAGGACCCCTAGGAACCCAAGGGCATTGCAAGTGCAGCGCTCTGGCTAGAGAAGCCAGGCTTCTCTTTACTGCCACTGCTGGGTGGTTTTGTATTCTGATCAGGTTACAGTGACCTTTTTCAGAACCTCCTTCCAAGAGGGGCTCAGTCCTGCCATTCTCATAAATTCCCTCTCCCTCCCGGTGCCTTAGTGTAACTTAAGGGGGTGCTGAAAGAAGATAGCATCTAAATCCAGTGGGTTGCTTTTCACATTACAAGCATTAAGCTCTCATCATGGACTAGACTGGCCATGGCTGTTGCTCCAGGCGCCACCAGATGTGCTTTGGGGAGTCGGGGTTTCTTGTCTGCTATTCCTTCTTTCCAGTGCTTCTTTTGATGCAAGACCTTGAACCCAAGGCAGTATAGCACAGTGGTTAAGAGCACAGGCTCCAGAATAGGGTTCAACTCAAACCCCAGCTCAGCAACTTGCTAACCAGTGAATGTCTTAAAATAAATTAATGCAGATAATAAGAAGTGCTTCTTGGTGGAGTTGTGAGGCTTACCTGCAACAATCCCAATAAGTGATAGCTATTGTTTGGAAGGAAGTCTCAGCTCCAAGGCAGAGCAGGAACGGAGTGTCTTCTGATTCATTCTCACTGGTCTACAAGCTCTCTGATGGTAGAGACCCTTTCTGTCTGTTTTAACACTTTAAAGCCAAGGCCTGAGAAGAAATGGTCACATGATAGAAGTTCAATAAGTGTTTGAGAACAATTTCAATCCCCAGTGGTTCTCCTGAGTTTTAATCATTCTTTAAAAACAAAACAAGGAGAAATGAGTCCTGTGTATAAGAAGAGAGATTTTCAGTAAGGAGAGGAACACAGGGACAGGGAATCAACATTTCTGAGCACTTCATTGTGCCAGGCAGGGAGCTGAATGTTCAAAGCATTTTACTTCACTTCATCCTGCAGAACTCCTGCAAGGCTGCTGTGTCCTTTACTGTTCATGCCAGAAAATGGAAATGAGGCTCAGAGAAGTTAACTTGCCTGAGGTTAGACAGCTGCATAAGCTAGAATAATAGTAGTAGCAGCAGCAGCAGCTAACATTTATGTAGTATATACAGTGAGTCAGACACTTTACCTAAATTGGCTAATTTAATCCTCCTCACAACCAGTCAGATATCATCATTTTAAAAATAAGGGACCAGCTGGCTGCAGTGGCTCATGCCTGTAATCCCAGTACTTTGGGAGACTAAGGGAGGAGGAGCACTTGAGCCCAGGAGTTTGAGACCAGCCTGGGCAGCATAGCAGACCTTGTCTCTACAAAAAATTAGAAAATTAGCCAGGCAGCCAGGCCCAGTATCTCACATTCCTAATCCCGGTATTTGGGAGGCCAAGGCGGGTGGATCACCTGAGGTCAGGAGTTCAAGACCAGCCTGGTCAACATGGTGAAACTCCATCTCTACTAAAAATACAAAAAATTTTCTGGGCATGGTGGTAGGTGCCTGTAATCCCAGCTGCTGGGGAGGCTGAGGCAGGAGAATAGCTTCAACCTGGGAGGTGGAGATTGAGCTGTGATTAGGCCGTTGCACTCCAGCCTGGCAACAAGAGCGAAATTCTGTTTAAAAAAAAAAAAAGACAAATTAACCAGGCATAGTTGCACATGCCTGCAGTCCCAGCTAGTTAACTGAGATAGGAGGATCACTTTAGCCTGGGAGGTTGAGGCTACAGTGAGGTGTAATCGTACCACTGCATTCCAGCCTGGGTAACAGAGCAAGACCCTATCTTAAAAAGAAAAAAAAGAGAGGACCAAAGTACAAAAAGGCAAAATAATTTACACATGATTGGTGGTAGAGCTGAGATTGCACCCTAGTTCCCAAAGATTATTTTCTTCTTCTTTTTTGCTTTCTTTTGGAGACAGTGTCTTACTTTGTCACCCAGGCTGGAGTACAGTGGCACAGTCTCAGCTGCAACTACCTCCCAGGCTCCTCCCACCTCAGCCTCCAGAGTAGTTAGGACTACAGATACGTACCACCGTGCTCAGCTAATTTTTATATTTTTTTGTAGAGACAGGGTTTGATCATGTCATCCAGTCTGGTCTTGAACTCCTGGACTCCATGGCCTTGGCCTCTCAAAAGTATTAAAATGACAGGCTTGAGCCACTGCACCCAGCCCATTATCTCCTTGTCTCCCAGAAAGCATTAGTAAGGACTGTGCAGGTATAGTAAGGACTCCGTAGGACTTTCTGAAACAGAAGAATTAGGTAATTAAGTAAAATAGTGGCGCTGCTTTCCCTAAACGTTTTGAAAATGAGACTCCCTGTTCATATGCCCAGGATGTGTGAACAGAATTTTTCCTGGAGGTGCAGGGCAAGTTTCAGAGAACCTTTGAGTCCTCTTGGGGCCTTGCCTCATCTCTCCACATCGATTGGGTTGGCAGTATTCTTTTCACTGAAGAAACTGATCTGCTTTTCTGTGGAGTGAAATGACAGGTTAGAAAGGCTCTCAAAGTTTGAATTTAGCCAGCACAGTGTATTCATGTGCCGTGCACTCGGGTCACCAGGAGAAGATAGATTTGACAGGTTGGCTGGCGGACAAAAGCCAGCCCTTGAGAAGTCAGTTCTCCTTTGAAAGGTAAGTCAGACTAATTATTTGTCTCCATCGAGCCTAGTGTGTGAGCCCACTGATCAGCGGTGGCAATGGGAGAATGGAGTGGTGGTACCAGAAGGCACAATTGCCACCGCTCTGGGGCTTCTGCTGTGATCGTCTTCCAAGACTGGCAGCGGTACAGTAACTGCCTGCCATCCCCAGCTGCACACTTTAGAGCCTTTGCTTTATAGTGCTGTTTTGAATTTGTAAAAACATTTTATGTTCACAAAAACAAAAAATATTTTTATAGAAGAGAAAGTTATGATACTTTACCCCTTGTAGAAATCTTGTGAAACTGGTCGAGGGAGCCTTGTTTTGTAGAGCAAAGTTGCATAACTCAAATGTTTCAGAACTCTCAGCCTGTGTATTTTAAGTTTAAATCAGGGCAGGCATGGGTGACTCACACCTGTAATCCCAGCACCTTGGGAGGCCAAGGTGGGCAGATCACCTCAGGTCAGGAGTTCGAGACAAACCTGGCCAACATGGTGAAACCCCATCTCTACTAAAAATACAAAAATTAGCCAGGTGTGGTGGCATGTGTCTGTAATCCCAGCTACTCAGGAGGCTGAGGCAGGAGAATCGCTTGAACCCAGGAGGGTTGCAGTGAGCCAAAATCGCACCACTGCACTCTAGCCTAGGCAACAAAGTGAGACTGTCTCGAAAAAAAAAGTCTAAATCAGTGTATGTGTATGAATGCCTGTGTCTTCTCTGTCTTTTCTCTATCACTTTTGACTCTTTTCAGCTACTTCTTGAGATCCGAAAAATTCCAGAGAGCTATTCCTGCCCCCCAATTTTTCCTGGAGGTGCAGGGCAAGTTTCAGAGACACAAGCAAGCAAGCATGCTTGCAATCAGCATCTTAAGCTTGACCCTTAGGATAGAGGATCAGATGAAAATCATTTACACCAAAGCTGTGTCCAGGCAACAGCCAACAGACTTTGGAAAAGGACTTAAGCAGTATGAGAGATGACTAAATTTAGACTTGTGTATTTTTTTTCTGTTGCTTGTGTCTTTGATCCACTTGGCAGTTGAAAATTTAAGTTCCTCAGACCTTTTTTTTTCCTTCTCTGCCTGCTTGTTTTGCTAGATAAACCATTTGCACAGAGGTGTGTGTGTGCCTGCACATGCTTAATTTCCCTGGCATCTGATAAATGTTTTGAAATAGGATAATGCTGGAAACATTTTTTATTACTTTACAGTGCTTTGCTTAAGTAGAATTGATTCTTTTCCTCGACTGCTGTGTTGTTGCATTTTTTTAAAAAATGAATTAGATCACTCCAACTACTTCACCTTGTCGGTCTCATCCTGTTTAATCATCACTTCCTGTAGTGCTTACTAGCCAATGAGACTTCACATCCCTACGTGTCTACACAGGCATCCGTGAGACCTCCCTGACCTTGGGAGAGGAATTTGGAATTCCTAGTCTGTAACGGGGAGAGATGAAGGTGCAAAACAAAAGCATAGATTGAAGTTTGGAGTCTGAAGTTTAACCTTCGATCTACCCCCAAACTCTCCCTCTGAACTACTTAGTCAAATGTGGATTTGAGCCAAATGGCTCCCGATTTTCTTTTTCAGCTCTGAGCGTCTAGAGTGACTTCAGTTCACCAGATAACCAACCTTGTATAAAATTTGAGATTTGATTATCCAAAATGAAATGCATTGAGGCAGGTGCTCATTGAACTCACTGGTGTCTGAACAAGGCTCTAGAACTGGTGACAAATGAGCTGTGATACAGTGTTGTGATTTACAGCTTTCCATGGGGTGACACCATAATTTTTTAAATGTTGACTTTGTCAGAGAAATTAGATAAAATGCAAAGAACACAGTGAGATTTCTGAATTGGGAAGCAGAGCTGGAGTAATTTTCCTTAGTATGTCAGCATCCCTGCTACCCGCGGCTTTTTTAAAAGCAGTAATGCCTGCCTATGAGCTTCTGATCCCCCTTGGATAAAGTTCAAACTGTCCCCAGGCTTACTATGAGATCTGGCTCCTGCTATTCTTCCCCTCCTTCTCCTGTCTTCAACCACACTGAGTTACTCGCTTCCCCCCACCCCCAAGCCATCCTTTTTCTTGCCTTCTAACCTTTGCAGAGACATTCTCTTCACGCTTAGCCCATCCCTCAGGGCTTACGTTAAATGTCACCTCCTCCAGGAAGCCTTCTCTAACTACCCGACACCAAAGACCAGATTGAGTGTCCCTCCTATTTGCTTCCTTGATAGCCTGAACTTTTCCTTATCATAGCACCAAATATATCATATTGTAAATGTCCACTACTAGGCTGTCACTTCATCTATACTCTAAGCACCTTGAAGGCAAGAACCTGTCTTGTTCACCAGTGATTCCTTGTTACCCAGCCTAAATGAGGAAACTGCTCAGACAGGTAGACTAGCTCCAGTCTGTATAGCTCAGCTTATTAATGAAGCCAGAATTCACTGCCAAGCCTGCCTCTCTCAACCCCACCCCTTTCCATTCTGTAAGACTTCTCACCCTGACCCATCTTACCCCTAATTGTGAAGATGTCTTTTTCTTGAGATAACTTCTATGATCTCATTAGAAGGACTGGGGAAAATGGAATTTTGTTTGCAGACCTTTGATTTAAAGACTCATTTACAAGATTGCCTGCCCCTGTGGATCAAGACTGCAAATGAGAACACTTAGGTCAATTGGCTTAAAAGGCACCGTGTCTGCTGTGCAAATAGGGGCTTAATAATTGTGAGTCTCCTTTTCTCCCTGGAGTTTGATATTCTTTCCCATCCAGATGCATTTGTGAGATAAGTGTGACAGACCCCACCGACCACCTTTTTTTTTTAAATTTGTGAATTTTGAAATCCAAACACGTGTCTCTGCTTCTTAGATTCCAGCAGCTTTAAATGTCCTTGGATTTTTTTTAGAAAGGACCCAAGTCTATAATATATGTACAGCAAAATGTAGACATGCCTCTCATTACTGCTAATTGCAGTTCTACCACTCGGTGATCTGGGCTTAAACCTTCTAGTTCTGTGACTGGTTATCTATTTTATAGTATTGGCTACTTAGGATACATTACAGTGTCTTCCATGCGGCTGCTCTTTAGGTAAATTAATACCTGGGGGTCTTTTTCCTTCTCTAGGAAACTTTAAGTACTGTAACAGGCTTTCATTTAAGCCTGTGCAAGGCTTATTTCACCAGATTGCTATTTAGAAGTTCTAACAAAACACCTTAATGAATAGCGACCTTAATACCCTTAATCCGCTAAACTTCCTGACATTTTAAACTAAGTGGATAGCTAGGAATGAAATCAGGCTTTCCCATCTCTCTAGTCTCTTCCTCTCCCCAGCCCTGCCTATGCCTTCAGGATCAAGGTGCTGGGGTGCAAATTCCTTCTTGCTATTAGGCCACCAAACTAGCAAAAACCAGGAAACACAATGTGGTTTTTCCAGACTCCACATTATGCAACTACCTAGCCTGATCCATAGCTTTTTTAAAAAGCAAGGTTTGGTAAGGTTTCTGTTTCTGATAAAACATTGGCATTTAAAAATATTCAATGTGGGCCGGGCGCAGTGGCTCACACCTGTAATCCTAGCACTTTGGGAAGCCGAGGTGGGTGGATCACAAGGTCAAGAGATCGAGACCATCCAGGTCAACATGGTGAAACTCCATCTCTACTAAAAAATATAAAAAATTAGCTGGGCATGGTGGCGCACGCCTGTAGTTCTAGCTACTTGGGAGGCTGAGGTAGGAGAGTTGCTTGAACCTGGGAGGCGGAGGTTGCAGTGAGCTGAGATCACACCCCTGCACGCCAGCCTGGCACCTGGTGACAGAGTAAGGCTCTCTAAAAAAAAAAAATTAAATGTGATTTTCTTTGTTTTCTTTTTTTTTTTTTTTTTTTTTGAGACAGAGTCTGGCTCTTTCACCAAGGCTGGAGTGCAGTTGTGCAATCTTGGCCCACTGCAACCTCTGCCTCCCAGCTTCAAGTGATTCTCCTGCCTCAGCCTCCTGAGTAGCTGGGATTACAGGCACACGCCACCACACCCAGCTAATTTTTGTATTTTTAGTAGAGATGTGGTTTCACCATGTTGGTCAGACTGGTCTCAAACTCCTAACATTGTGTGATCCACCCACTTCGCCTCCCAAAGTGCTGGAATTACAGGTGTGAGCCACCGTGCCCGGCTCTTTGTTGTTGTTGTTTTTTAACTCACATTTAGTTTTGGAAAAAATATTGAAAATGCAGATAAACAAAAAGGATAAAAGAAAAAGATTGTAATGTTATATGACACAGAGAAATCTATCATTAACACTTTAGTGCTTTCCAGATGTTTTTTATTCATGTAAGCACTTAGATATTTTATTTTTTGAAAGACCAAACATGTCTGGAATACTTACTTGCTATGAATCACACACTATTCTACATTTTTTACATGTATTGATTCATTTGGTGTTTACAACATCTCTGGGAGTAAGAACTCATTGTATAGGTGATGAAACAGACACATGTTGCTTAAGCAACGTGTGTCCAAAGTCACACAGCTAAAAGTGGCAGAGCCAGAATTTGTAGCTAGACAGTGTGACTCTCTAGTCTTTAATTTTAATTACATTATACAGCCTCTAAAAAGTGCGAGATGTTTTATAATCTAACTTTGTAGTTTCATACTACAGCATGAGAATCCTTCTTTATCAGGATCATTAGCATCATTCTTAATGGTCACACAAAGTATTCCATTCTATGGAGGAGCCATAATTTGATTAACTCTCTTCCTACTAATGGATATTTAGGGTGTTTCACTTCTTTTGTTCTTATAAACAACGATGCAAAGACCATTCTTGGACCTAATGTATGCACACTAATGTGGGCTGCCAATAAAGCCTGTATTCTATATTTGCCTTATAATTCTGACATTTGTGTGTACAGATGATGCCCCAAGGCACTATAGAGGAGCATAGTCTTGAGTATGTTCTGGTGATGGGGCTACCCTGAACCATTCACACACTTTCTCTATCATACTCCATTGTTCCTGGTACAATGTTTGGAAGGAAGTTGACTAAGAATGGAGTTTCTGTCTAGGTCCAGCTAGCTGCCTGCAGGTGAACCTACAAATACAGCATTAGTTTGCAATCTGCTCTGAATTGAATGAGGACATTTATCTTTCTCTCTAAACAAGTGAAAGTATAGAACTTGAAACTATTAGGTTGGTGCAAAAGTAATTGCGGTTTTTGCCATTCCCCCCCCCCCCCCCCCGCCTAAAGATGGAGTTTCACTCTTGTTGCCCAGGCTGGCGCCACGAGGCCCGGCTAATTTTATATATATATATATTTTTTTTTTTTTTAGTAGAGACAGCATTTCTTTATTTTGGGGGAGGGAAGGAGGAAGGGAGGAAGGAAGGAAGGGATGAAGGAAAGAAGGAAGGGA